ATAAAATTTGGTTCTTGTTAAGATGATTTAACATGCTACTAGTTGTTTTTCTCCTAGAATTAAAACCAAATCATCTCCTCAATAAATGCAAAAGTTTTATACCTAGAAACTGCTATGATAAGGTTCTTAACATCCACAATTTAAATTGGCCCATTTTGTTATTGCTAGAATAAACAGCTACGCCCCCACCAACTATGATAACGGTAAAATGTCCTCCAAAGAGACAGAAAATACACCCGAATGGCTCAATCTCTCAGCAGTCATGTAATGTATATCTGCCTGGCAGCTGCCCTGGACTCTGACCTTTGAGCATTGTTTCCAATGGGATCACATGCTGAAAGAAGCGAGAGGAGTTCCTCACAAGCCCACAACTTATTTCTGGTATCAGTAGACCAACATGTTAAAAAAAAAAAGAAAAGAAAAGAAAAGAAGCTATTCAATGTATTCAGTAGCGTGACAAACACTGCTGGTGTGTTATGGAGTCAGGTTGTGGTAACGGCTTTCTGAAGTTGTTACAAACCAAAGTAAACATACAAGTGTACACTATGTCAACCACTGTTATACATAACAAGAAAGAATACTAGTAATGTAACATTACTTGTGAATCCAGTTGAGCAATGTAAACACTCGGGTCTAATAAATGAATAAAAGAAAGCTACAAAGCAATACAGTGAAGATTTTTTGGCTTAAATGATGGAGAAAATTTTGAATTTATTGCAGATTATAGTAGTCACACTAACATAACAGGAAAACTTCACGTTGTGAACGTGACGCAGACATAAGAATATAACAGATCAGGTGACTTGGACTTATAGTGTTGTAATAATCATCATCGTAACTCAACAAGTAACAAAATCCAAATTATTGTCGCAACAAAATTATGTTTATATTATTTATAACACAAAATATAAGATGTATTTCAAAAATAAGAGAGCTTTACGTTCCCACTGATCTACGGCCGACACCCTTGCAGTCATTGTTATTTGGGGAATTTCAGCTTGCCTGGAGGACATTTTGGGGTTTTGGGAGCACTGCTGGCTGCTTATGCAAACTCAGGAAGTGTTTCTTTGCTCCAAATCAGAAAGGTGTGGTAACTCTACCAGCAACTAATATAATCAAGACTCAGAAAAGATTACAGTGACAGTCCAAATCAGCGTTGACTCAGTGGATGACAAGACACAAAGCTGGCCTTACGCACAC